CCCCCCCCCCCCCCCCATCACCTATTTAACAATATGTGCAAAACACAATTACAAACAAACACGATACCAATACCAGTACCCTTAAAGTAACACTGATAAAAAGAGAGTACTTCATTTGATTCCTTTTTTCCCTCCTTCATTCCGTCGCTAAAGTACCACCACTACCTCTGCTTTTATTTTCATCGGGGGCCACAGGTGTGTAGGCCTAGTAGCCAAACCTTCAAACGTTTTGGGACTGCCAACTCTGTCAAATACTGACCCACTTTACCACTCCACAGGCTGTATGGGTAGCTGCTAGTGGGGAAAACACACATTACATTACATCAAAGAACACTCGCAGTGATTGGCTGTGAGCCACGCCACACAAATATGGGTTTAGTTTTTTTAGTACAAAAAGGTTTGAAAAGTTTGATACTACTTGGATTATTTTAGTCGATATCTTAAAGGCGGTCGGTACCGATACCCAGACCTACCTCTGCCTCTTGCTGGGGCCGAGTGCTGCCTGTTACCTTCATTTAAACATCAAGGCAGTCTTTTTTTTTTTTTAGACATAACCTTATGTTCTGCTTATATAATCCTGACAATACAATGGGGATTTAATTAGTGCAAATTAGCTTCACTGGATCTGCTCAGAGAGTGTGTGAAGGCTGGGTGGGCTCTGTGATCGCCCTGTGAACCAGAGAGCGGAGGAGGGAATGCAAACAGGGACGACTGGGGAGAGGCGATACCACCCATCCCCTCCTCCCCAGCTCACATGACTGCGATTAGAGGAGGAGTGTGGTGGGACGTGGGATGTGAGCACGATGAATGACATTTTTGGGATTTTGGCGCACAGATCACATCCAAGAACTCAACTTGTCTTTGATTGCTGATTGAGGGTCATCCACTTGTCTGGGGTAATTTAACTTTATACTAAAAAGAAAAAAGTGTACATTTGTCTTAAATTTAGATTCGTTATGCTTGAGCAAATTAGCTTGTTGTGTGTTAAATGTAGTGTTGCGAGAAATGCTCAGATATTTTGTTCAAGTAAAACCACAGTGTGGAAAATACTCTGTTACAAACAAAAGTCCATGAACCAAAAGTAATAATACTCATTATGCAGAATGGGGAGTTTCAGAACAATATATTATATTTCTGGATTATAATTACTGATGCATTAATGTGTACATACTTTAATGTTTCAGCTGGTAAATTTGGGGTCAAATTGAACTACTTTGCTGGGAACTTCTTCATATCCTCCACATCAATATCGTTTTATCTTCACCAATAATAATACATCATCATTTATCTGTTGATTACATTTTGCATTATCAATCTCAATCTGCAAAATAACTTTTATCTCCAGTTATCAAATCACTGCCGGGGAGTAAAAAGTACAATAGTTGCATCTGAAATGATGGACTATTTGTATGAAGTTGCAGAAAATGGAAATTAAAGTGTCTGAAATTGTACAGGAGTGAATAACTCAGTCATGCTGAGGCCCGCTGGTGTAATTAATTTTGAATGATTATTAAAAGCAGAGATGGAAACTAACAATGTTTCTAGAAATAGAAAGTAATAACACTGAAGCAAATGCAAATGGGTTTTTAAATCATATTTACATCCTTTTTTTTTAAATATAATGAGCATAATGAAGAGCATGCAAGGTGGAGATTGTCAGAACAAGTGTGTGTGTGTGTGTGTGTGTGTGTGTGTTTGAGTATATGAAGTATTCTAGTGTGTGTTTTTTACTCTCAGTTGCAGGTATGAGGGTGCTACACTGGTGCATGCTGGGAGTGACCATCCTGCTGCTGGTCTGCGAGGTCACCATCAGTCATCTGTGCAATTCCCTCATCACGTTAGTGGATGGTTTCCACACGCTCTTCATCTTCTTGCGCATGGCTCTTCCTCCTCCTCAAACAGCAAGCATAAAAAAGAACCCGCTCTCCTCTTCAGATTCCTCCGCATCTCCTCCACATGCTTCCTCCTCCTCCTCAGAAGTACTTCCCTCCATCCTGCCTGCAGGGTCATCCATTGAATCGCCACCTGGGACCCGGGCCGATGGGCCCCCGGACTGTGGCGTGTCCTTCACCAGCAGCAGGATTCAGCCTGTGGGGGCTTTCTTTTCTGCCCTCCTCCTCACCTCTCTGTGTCTCTCTTACTTCATGGAAATCGTCAGCTTTTCCCTGGAGCCACACCCAGTGCAGCGCCCCCTGCTGCTGGTGGTGGTCGGAGCTGTCAGTCTGCTTCATAAGCTGCTGGTGGTCTGGCTGAAGTGGGATCAGCTGCAGAATGAGAGGGCCGATGCCAGCAGGCAGCCGAGGAACGAATCTCACCTTGAAGTGAACCAGAGAGGTAACATCACCTACATGGGTACATGGTCACTTTGAAAGCATGATGCACACATATATACAGCACAACAATATGTGGTACAAATAATAGTAATAAGGCATATGTATTGAGGCTGTAATAAATAGCTTTATTAACAGTCAATTAATCACTTTCAAATGCCTTATATTTCAGTCATAAGCCATTAATAAGAACTTTTGGGTTGCCAGGTTGTGGTCCGTGTTGCCCTCCTCCCAGTGTTCAGTTTTGATGCTAATCTAAGTTTATAAGAATGCCAGCTGAAGCTTCACATTTACCATATATTGATCCTCATGTGATTTTTTTACAACTGCAATCTGGACATCCAGTTCCAGCTGGTCTGATCAATCTAATCTGAGATACAATAGTTAGTTGTTCAATGTGTGATGACCACACTTTAAACTGTACCTAAGGATTTTAAAGTCCAATATCATGTAAGACACATTGCTGCAATTCGGGTGAAATTCATTCATTTTGAAGAATGTGCCACGGATTTCAATGTGGAATTCGTGGCAGATCACAATGATGCACGAGGCTTAAAAAATCCTGCTGCAGAGCCCCTCTCTCACGTCATGTGAAAGCACTTGTAATAGCATTATGTAATAATCTTTTACCACAGAATAATTAGCGTGCCTGTCCGGGTGATGCTAGTGTACAGACACATTTCCCTTTGAAGTAGCTGCCAGGTGTATATTCAGCTGTAAGGAACATCAAACAGTGTCCACGTTTGTTTTTCATTCCTCTGTTCGACTCCCACAGTCTTGGCTGCAGAGGAACCCAAAGGCCAGGCTGAGCCGGGGCGAGTCCTGGAAGATGTTAGCTACGTCCAATCTGCCGTGGACAACTCGCTCCACAATGGGGCGCTGGTCCTGTGCAACCCGGGAACCTCCAGCGTCCCTGACCCTGACTCTCAAACTGCCAAACAACAGCCAGTCCACCTGCATGCAGCAGCTCAACAGGACCGCAGGGACTGTGAGGCAGCCAGCGGTGTCGCAGATTTGAAGGTCTGCAAGTGTGAGAGTCGTTCAGAAGACATCACAGACAACACCTGCATGGGACATCTTGGTAAGAGAGCTCCTTGGACTGTCACCTTTCTAGCTTTAGGGTCCCGTAGAAAAAGAGCCACATGAGAAAATAACAAATGAAGTCAATGCACATATTTCAATATTTGTTTTTCATATGTGACCAAATGAGATTGCCTATTTGTTGTGGGTGAGGTGAGTTTTTGCAGGTGAAATAACATTTCTTTAATGATAAATGTGTCGTTTATCGATGTGAAGATCATGTTTTGCTGTTTTCTCTCCCTTCAGACAGTCAAACTGCATCTAATACCAAAGTCTACAAGTCGTCCCATCACATTGAGAGGACCGTACCAAGCAGCCAGCGGCCAGTCAGTCGCGTGTCCTTTGTCCTCGTCATGCAGGGCCTCACTAGCTCTCTGCTGGCTCTGATCAACAGCCTGGTGATGCTGCTGGTCGGCCCACAGTTCCTACACAGCTCGGGAACCTGTGGCCTGCTGGTTTACCTGGATCCTGTTCTCTCCCTGCTGGCTGTGATTGTGCTGATCGCCACCGCTGCACCACAGGTCGGTGTGTTTATGTCATGCATTTTAGTTTAAATGTTGCTTTTAAGCATTTAGCTGAAGCTCTTATGTGTGCTGCAGCTGTACCTGCACTGATTGTTGTAAATCTCTCCAGGTGCACAGGTATGGACTTCTGCTGCTACAGGCCACACCTCCACACATTTGCGCATCTGATCTTGGAAGAAGGATTACGAGTGTCCCCGGAGTGCAGGCTGTGCACAACCTTCACATCTGGCAGTTAACTGAATCCTTCATGGTGGCCTCTGTCCATGTACACTGCCATGCTGGGTTTCCAATGCACAGGTGAAGTGGAAAGGTCTTTTGACTTTGGTACTAAGGGGTTCTAACAAACCATGGCCAGTCAATTCTGATTGGCTGAAAGGTATGGATTAATTTTGTGTAACCGTACAGTATAACCGGACACTTTTAATATGCGTTTGCCCTTCTAAATGAATGTGTTAGTATTAAACTGTAAAGACAGCAACAGTGAGGCTTAACAATGGCTAAAGCTCAAAGCTCTATATTTTATTAATGCAGAATCCTTTCACACATGTGCAGGTGTGCTGATCTGATGTCGGGGGTCACTAAGGTGCTGCAGAGTGTTGGAGTGAGCTGCTGCACCGTCCAACCAGAGTTTGCCTCCTGCTCTGGGTCCTCTGCAGGCAGCGAGGGGGACGCCTCCCCTGTCATCCACAGAGAGGACCCCTCCCTGCCACCTCTTCTGGCCTGCAGCCTCGCCTGTGGAAAGGCCTGCGCTGGGTCTATGTGTTGCTCTCCCGTAGAGGAGGAGACCAGCCTGCTGGCACCACCAGCTGGGGAAACAAAGGAAGAGCCTCAGACACTGGTCATCGAGAACACCTTCCTCTGACTGAAGTAGTTGAAATAAATGAATGAATGTAAAGGTAAAGGTAGTGGATGATGCGGAAAAATGAACAGATTTTGAAAGTGTAATCTGTCCTAAAACATGGCTCATACATTACATGTAAATGTTATGTTTATGTTAGTTTGATGACATTAAACATGGCGCTGCAATATCAAGCGAGACATTTCTTCTTGTGGTGGCCTCATTTGTACTCCGAACCTCTGTATTCTCTACCATGTATGTATAAACAAATAATACTAAAGTGTGTCTCTTTTTATTTTAAGATAATATAGAATGTATCCCGGTGTCACAGCGACCAATGAAAGTAAAAGAACAAATGTATAAAGATATGTGATTTAATAGGCTACTGTATTATATGAGTATCCACTTTAATACTGAATGAAACTATACACCCAGTGGTGGAAAGTAACAAAGTACATTTACTCAAGTACTGTACTTGATGAACTTGAACTTTATTTCATTTTATGCTACTTTTTACTTCTACACCATTCAAACGCAACTATTGTACCTTTTTCAAGCCACTACATTTATTTTACAGCTATAATTATTAGCTAAATTACAGGTTATGTTTTTATATGTAAAACAAAAACTTTATAAAATATTTATTTTATGTTTATAAAGTACTGTTAACTACATATCAGTGTATAGATGGAGTATGAAGTAGGATAGTTCAAATTAGCTCCACCTCAACCAACTACAACGTTGATGCATCACTTAAATTAATACAATCTCAATACTTTAAATACATTTTTGCTAAAACTACTATTTACTTGCTCACTTGTAATGGAGTACTTTCATTTTTATTATTTGAATACTCCTTCCATGAATAGAATGAGGAATAAGACAGTTGAAATAACTTGCACCTGAAGGATTGGATCTCGGTGATGTAATGTAGCAGCAAATACAGTTGTTGCAGCAAAAATGTGAGACTGAGAGATTTCATCAGACTACACACAGATGGGTTTTACATGGCAAACGCTACAGGAAATACACAGGCACACCTATGCATCCATTATTCATGTCATCAGTTACACCTGTGCCTTTCTATCTGTGTTTAATCGTAATCTTCTATATTTCTTACCTATGATGACGCCATGTCGCTCCGCCTTTTTATTGTCAGACAGCCAATCGCAATGCACCTATTTTGAATAGCACAACACAGACCCGACTACGTTCCCCGTTTTTGTGTTTATTCGACAATAATATGCTTAACAACATCCGGCACGTGATGGTACTTTGTATACGAGCGCTCTGTCATAAAAGCAAACTGACGTTCATTAACGAGACACCATTACTCAAAACACTGTCGTTGATAGATTGTATATATACTCTTCCGCAACCTCTTTTAAAATGCCCGGATGAGCCTCGGTGGTCCGGGGTGCAGGCTTCAAACCTGTAGCTGCTTAGCGGCAGAGTGGTTCAATTCCACCTTTCGGGCGTAAGTACGCGATATGACCGTTAACTACGTAAGTGAAGGAGTCATGACAACGATTTGTACATCTACGTGTTATTTGATCGAAACGCTTGTTCTACACTCTTGTTCGAAGGGAAAAGCGTCACATGTTTTAATTCGCTATAGTACAAATAAGCATTGTTATTTTACCTTTGTTACATGATTTATCTAATAGCTACGTTACTTACTTTTTATACACAAAACTCATAGGCAATATGTATTTTAAGAGAATTTAAAATAACAAAAATGAAAACATACGATCAATGATTTCCTATTGTAAAATCAAATGTATGAAAAAGTTCATACATTATACGTTGTAAATAAACCCAGGGTAATAACTGGGGGAGCAGAATTTACGCTGAATCTACATCCGCTTTGCCAAGAAAACGACATTGATTGACAGTGTATGAAAACCAATCATCTGTGAGCATTTCCTGTCCACCATCCAATCATGTTCCCCCCCTGGTGTGGGTTGGCCGATCAATGCGGAAACGCGTCTGTGCAGCAGAGGCAGTGGCTGGTGTGCGTGATGTCCTTGCCCGCTGAATGTTGGACTAACCTGGATTGGAAACTCACTTAGTACTTGGTGGAGGTCACTTTTACATCATAACTGGTAAGGCAGACCTTTAAGCGTGCTCTTAACCTTCTATCAGACTCATAGAGGCTGATGTTTAGATGTATGACTGTGTTATTGCCCCTGTGCCTGTTAGCGTGCTGCTAACTCGATGTCGCTGGTGTTTTAAACATCAACATGTTTAATGATTGATTAATCATTTATTAAGTTAAATGCCAAACCATCACTGCTGCAAACAATTGGACATTTTGACTTGGGGCACTGGGACTTTATAATGGGCATTTGTTCACAGTTTGTTGACATTTTATAGAAGAAACTGTCAATCAAATTATAAATGCATAGTTTATTTATAATAAATCTAATCGTTACTTGGAGACCTAGGATTTAGTACTTGGTCTGATCAGGAAACAAAAGATTCAGTGCGTCCTAAATGAAAACCCTTAACATTTGTAACTCTGTGACCATAAATATTGCTTGTTAAATGAGGAAAACATCTTATTAGTGAAATTTAAATAGATTATTTTCTTTAACTAAATCCCAAATCTCTACTGTATGAAAAAATCTGCCCCACCTTATAAATGGAAGTGCAACTCGCAAAACTAGGTAGAGAAAGTTATAATGCTGTGTTGTGAACTACTGATTTTCTTATTGATTTCCTGTAGTAACTGTTTCATCCTTAACCCGTCTTTCAGATTTGACTTGAAGCGTCCGTTATGCCTTTTCATAAATACTCCCCCAAAATCTGGGACGTCCTAAAGCTAAAGCAGGGCATCTACGCTCGTCTGCCCACACACTACCTTAAGTCCCTCGAGCAGAAAGAGCCACAACCCGTCCACTGGAAGCCTTTGGGAGTCCAGTACCAAGCCAACCCAACAACGGGGCAGAAGGAGCGGGTACAGGACGTCCCGGTACCCATCTACTACCCTCCGCACTCCCAGGACGGCCTGTGGGGAGGAGAGGGCTGGATATCAGGCTTCAGATATGCCAATAATGACAAAGTGAGTATCTGGGAAAAGGGATTGTCTGTCTTTGGTTCTACTGGTGTCATGTGACTGTCCACTCGCTGTCAACCTCCTTTTCTTCTTGTTAACCTTTCAATTTACCAAAAATATCATAAAATTCTAGTTTTGTTTTAGTGGAAATTCAAATTATTCAGCAGCAAAATGGTTATGCTCACAAATGTGAAAATATTAAATGCAATCTTCTTTGTAAGATATTACAGTACTTTAGTATAATGTTTCAGTACTTTTATGATATGTTGTAATTTAAAACATGTTTTGGGTAAAACCCTAAATATCTTTAATCTCAAAATATTTGTATCTATTAAGAATGTATCCATTAAGAAACATACAAAATATACATGTAAGTTTTCACTCTGTTCATCACACTTTGTCTTATTTCTTTATTGTACTAAATGGGATTGTTGTGTGGACACACTCAACAGCACTGTCATAGATATCACTATAAGTACTTTATTATAAGTTGTATGTTTACACAACTCAGCTGCAATTAATATAAATATGTAGGCTACATTGAAAAAAAGTCATTGCATGTTTAAAGTATGTATTGAAATATATAAATATGTGGCACTAAAGCCCAGAGGACGTTTAGATTGTTCTCAACATGTTCTGATGTTTCTCTCTCTGTAGATGTCGACTCGTCTGAAGAAGACCTGGAAACCACAGCTGTTCAAGAGAGAGTTGTACAGCGAGATCCTCGATCACAAGTTCACCATCACAGTCACAGCACGCACTCTGAACCTCATCGACGCCGCCTTCGGATTCGACTTCTATATTCTCAACGTAAGAGAGCGTTTTTACTGTTGTGTAACAAAATTACATTTTCCAATTGGCTTCTCATGTGACTGTAATTATCCAACTCCTGTCAGACGTCAAAGGAAGACCTGAACTCCAAGTTGGGGGAGGACCTGAAGAGGGCCATGTTGCTTCGCCTGGCACGCAGAAACACAGAGCTTTACCCCTCCGACCCCGTCAAGGGAGAGAAGGTCTACATCAAATACAAGGTAGGTGGGATGTGTTAAAGTGATTAAAACTAACCTTGATGTTTACCAGCTGCTGTACACGAGAAGGAGTTGTGATTAAAAAACAAATTATGTTTTTCTTTCTCTGGTTCCTTCTGTCTGAGCAGCAGTTTGAGATCCCGGAGGAGGAGGCCGAGTGGTTGGGTCTGAGTCTGGAGGAGGCCGTGGAGAAACAGAGGCAGCTGGAGCACAAGGTCACCTCATTCAGCACTTGTTTCAGACGTTTGACCTCAACAGAAATGCAGAAGAAATGTTGCTAAATATCTTCTATTTCTTATGAGAAAGACATTAGAAATCTCTATCCCACCTTAATAAAATCACAGCCCCCTGAAACATGTGAAAGGAATGTTGATTTGTTATGCTAAAGTTGTGCACAGTCTATGATTAATCCGTCCTAACTCAGTTGTGTTCACCCTCTTGTCTCTCAGGAGCCGGAGCCTCTGTTCAAGGCCTGTGTGGAGGAGCTGGTGGAGGAGCTGCACATCCAAAAACTCTCGGAGCCACACCTCCATAGAGAATAAGTGAAGAAGCGAACCGTCTGAGCGGGACAGAGGCATCTTTTCATACTGAAAAATGAAGTAGGTTGAGCTGTCAAGCTTCTCCAGACTGTGGTGGGAGTTACACGGTTCCTGAAACGTTTTCACCCGGGAGAACATCCTGCAGTATCAGCTTGTATTTCCATCTGAGAGCAACACAAAGGTGGAAAAGACACAAATGATGAGGCCATGTTGGAGTAATGCTTATTTATTTCCCCTCACATTTAAGATCCATACATAAGACATTTTAGGAATTAAGAGAAAAGCCTCCGTTAGTGTAAATACTCCCTGACCAGTTGTGATATCAGGCCCTTGTACAGGATATCCAAGAAATAAAAGATTCCTTTTTTTCTTAAACCCTGTTTCTGCTCATCTGTTGTTTCCCATAGTTATTAAATCAGTTCATTATTTAATTCACTGCATGACTTTAGGTGAGAGGTCTTTTAAGTTACAGAAATGGTTCGACGTTTTGGGTGATGTGCTTATTTTGCTTGATGAATGCAAGCAAAATCCATGCAACACAGTTATTAAACGCAATTGTAAAAGTATTAATACCACATTGATGATAAAATACTAAATACGGACATACGTACATATCCAAATAAGTCAATTAATCTGACCCCTAAACAGACCTCCTTCCTGACACAGCTGGCCATCGCCATGGAAAGCTATCGAGCACCAATCTATATTAATACTTTTATTGATATGAATGATTTAAGTTTGTTATACTTGCTAATAACCAAACACGCTCCTGCCAGATCCCAACATAGGTATCGCTACAAATGCTGGATGAGACCAGTATGATATGTTACATTAGATCAGGGGTATTCAATTAAAGTTCAACGAGGTCCATTTAGAGAGAAGTTCCTCATCAAAGGTCCAGAACATCACAGTAATGGCTAACTTGTTCTATGATTTAGTCCCATATAGTATATTGAATTAGCCAACATGTCGTCAACAACTGACTGTCAAATCAAATAAAGAAAGTGTATTAAATAATATCTGAACAATATTTATTGTCACTTTTTAAATTGAACTGGATGAATTATAAATAATAAATACTCTAATAATAAATAAATGTTCTTCTCATTTCAATTAAAATAAGGACTGAATTAAAGAATAAATTCAAGAACTGAAAGCTTTTGAAAAATGTGTTAAGATAAAGTATTTCATTTTAGAAAAAATTATTTCACTGAAAGCTTTAAATTCAGGTGTGAAGCCTGACCACTGTTCTCTTCTTGGAGAACGTGACATGAAATAACTTCTCTAATGTTATTCTCCTACTCTTCATTCTCTTTCCTTGGGTACATCCCAAGTCTCTTAATTGTCAATGGCCCAATCCCAATGTCCCCCCTAAAGCCTCAAACCCTGAACCCTCAAGGACTTACTGACGTCACCTGGTAAGTGGTTGAGTGTGGGAGACTGTGAGGGCTTGAAATGGTGTAAATATGAATGGGACAGCACTTTGCTGCAACATATCACGTTAACATGAAAACGACAATACATCATATTTTTTGTCGTTTAATTTCGTGTATAATTGTAGGTCTTTATTTTATACTTTGTACTCCCTGATTTGAATGTCTTCCAGGCTCTTTCCTCACAAGATGAGGTAACTTCATATCATCTATTTACTTGTTTTTGTCAAAACACCTTCAATGACAAAATCAAATATTTGATGAAAAAATAAATATTCTCTGATTTCATGTTTATTTTTTGTTCCATCTTTAATCCTTAATGTTTCGGTGTAAATTTAACTATTAAATCTTCTATTTTAATGGCATAAGTCAGAACCAGGTCGAGGGTGTGGTTTCTGTTGACTCTGACAGAAGCCAATCAAATCTAATAATGAGATAAACGCAGTACTAAGGCTATTATCCACATGAATATTAAAGTCACCTACAATAATGACTTTATCTGTTTTAAGGACTAGACTTGATAAGAACTCTGACCTGGGGCCCGGTACATAACAAATATAACTGGCTGTATTGTTTTCCAGGTTGGGTATGAAAGACTAAGAACCATTCAAATGAGTTATAGTCTAGTTTAGGTTTAGGGTTTAGTAATAATAGGCTTGAGTCAAAAATGGCTGCTACTTGAGGAATGTGAGTATTAATATGACTTGGAGGAGTTGATTAATTTATGCTGACATATTCTTCAGTACACAGCCAGGTTTCAGTAAGACAAAATAAATCAATCTGATTTTAAATCATTTACTAATACAGCTTTAGATGACAAAGATCTGCTGTTTAAGAGTCCACATTTAATTCTCCTATTTTGTTGGTGGTGTTAACTTGTATTCGGTTATTTTGTTGAACTCCTCTTCTGTTTACTTTAGATTGTATTCATGTGCACACATTGTTTAACTACAGTGGCTAACGACTGAGCCTCCGTGGTGCAGAGCTGTGCTTCTCACTCACTAAGCCTCGCTCCAGAAAGAGGACATTTCCTCTCACAGAGCAGAACATGACACCCTCACACCAAACTCTTTTTGTTTGACGGCATGTTAAACTAGCCGATAGGCAGGTATCACACAAATGTGTGACTTGTTGACATCACTACTTTAAAAGTAAAGACAAGAATTGAGGGAGCTCAGAGAAAGTGTTTCTGAGGGGGAGAGTAACTCCCTTTAGTCGTGGACTTCAGGCTTTGAAACTTTACAGCCTTTTATTGTACAAAGATATACATACAGTATATAATATAATATATATTATATATAGCATACTAAAGGACAGGGATGAAGCAGAAAAGATCATAGGTCCTCTCTAATGCATCAATAATTATAATACAATAAAATTATAATATTCTGAAATGGTCCATTGTGCATAATGAGTGATTTTACTGTAACAGAGTATTTCTACAATGTTGTATTAGTACTTTTACTGAAGTAAAAGATGTGAGTACTTCTTCCATCTCTGCTCTCACAGGAGAAACTTGATAAAGTGCAACAACAGAGTCGGTTTTAATCAGGAGTTCACTAAATCATCAGAACTAATAAACCACTAGAAACTGTTCAGTGAAGGAGAAACAAACTGATGCACACATGATGTATGGATCACCATAGCAACATGGAGGAAGGTGGCTGGATGTGGTCACAGAGATATTGATCTGTTGATCGACGGTCAGATGGACCAGTGGGTCCAGAGCTGAAAACATCCTGCAGCTTTATGAAGGACTAAGGACTCGTTGTGGTTAAAACAACCACAACGAGACTCCAAAAAAACACAAAGAAACTTAAAACTACTACAAAGACACTAAAACTATTACAAAAAGACTAAAACAACCACAAACATTTTAAAACGACTACAGAGAGACTCAAAGCAACCATGAAAGTTAAAGAAAACCACAAACGGGTGTAAAACGACTACAAGAAAATATAAAACTACTATAATAGGACTCAAACAACCACAAACATTTTATAACAACTATAAGGAGACTCAAAATGACAGCAAAGAGAATCCAACTCTTTCCTATAATTCTCTTGCTCTATAGATTCATAGTTCTATGGTTCTACTACTTCCATGACCTCGCATGCTGTACAGGACAATAACTAAACAGATTTGTGTCAGACCAAAGTGAGAACCAAGACACCAGTGTGAAAAAGTGTCTGATCCACCGGTCAAACTGGAAACATGGTGGACAGAAGAACCTGATCATGTGACAGAGACTCTTCTCTGTAAAACTAAAGACAGATAACCCTTCAGTAAATCTCCACCTCTTCCTGTATGCAGATATATACTGAGGAGAACCCACAGACACACAGACGGGCAAAGAGACAGACGGGCAAAGAGACGGTCTACCTGGGCATCATGGATCACCTGTTGATGCTGCTGTTGCTGTGGAGCTCAGGTAGGACTCTGATTTAGAGATGATGTGCTTTATTTAAATATTTCTGTTGTATCTTTAAATCAGAGAACACACACACATACTCAAACACACTCACACACACATACTCAAACCCACTCACACACACTCACTCTCACACACGCTCACTCACACACACAGACACATACATGCACACACAAACACGCTCACACACGTACTCACACACGTACACACAAACACACATACTCAAACCCAGACTCACGCATACACAAGAAAACATTAAAACTGCTCAACAATTTTATTGCAATTCCACTAAACAGTGAAGACAATGGAGTGAGGTCGTATTGTCGCATTATTCAAAATAAATAAATTATTCCTCGTGAAAAATAATGAATTAAAGTCATTAATTATTGACTGCATGAACTGTATGAACTCCATGTCAAAAGAAACACCACAAAAGTTTCCTCTTGGTTTATAAAACGTGATGATGTGACCTGAACTTTGTCAAATCGTACACATTCAAGTTAAAATCACCCAAATTTTAATCGTAAGTTATTGATTATATTTGTAGTAAATTAATATAATATTTCTGTAATCAATGTATATTCAGTAATTATCTCTGTGTGATTCAGACTCATGATTAATTGACAAGAAACGATGCAGCATGTAATCAGTGAGGCTGTTTGTAATCTGATATCAGCCTCACTGTTTCCTGTTCACTCTCCTACAGACGTATCAAGAGTTGGGATCTGGCAGAAGCTTGTTTGGTTATTAGCAAGTATGAACATTAAGTTATTGACATTCATACAATTATTAATATCAATAGGATTACTAACATATATTAATAATAACGGGGCAAAACCCTGGGATCAGGGACCAGTAACCAAACTGTGGATTAACAGTCAAAGTACTATTCTACATTCAGAGTGAACAGTGAAGGTTTGAATCACATCCAGCTATATTACAACACATATGCCCAAAATAATCACAGAAACTGCTCCTTAAAATATGACAGAGTTATAAACCAATAATATAAATCAACAAACATCTATTATACAACTACAAGCATACTACCTAAAAACCACAAACATGTGTTTGTGTATGGGGTCAGATCAGTCTCAATAATTGCAAATGCACACAGAAAGACTCACAAATGCAAACAGAAAGATTCACAAATATACACAACACAATGTTTGTTGTGATTGTATGTAATGGTGGGTGTGTTGGAAATGTTTGGATGTGAGCTGCTGTCTTCTTAACTTTTGACATTTCTCTTTTTTTAGCCCCTTCCCTAAGGGTGCTTTGCCTTCTGCCAGGAAGCCATTGTTAATAAAAAGTTAAATTTTAAAAATAATACATTTCCTGTTTGTGGTATTGTCACAAAAAAAAGATTACCCTTTAATCGACTCTTCTGTGATTGGCTGAAACGGATGGAGACATCTAAAAAACAGTCTTGTTTTTTAATGCAGGTTCAGCTGTCTGAATATCAATGTAACAACATCCAAATAAGTTTTTGGTGAAATTTCCATTTCTATTATATTTACTTAAAACAACAAATATGTGTCTATTTCTCCAGGACTCCAGGCTGAAGGAAATCACACATCAACAGGTAAATAGAGAAAGAAACGAGAAATAAAGATTCAATGAAGCAGAATCAGCAGTCAATTTTGATTTTATATTTTATTAATTCTATTTATTTATTTTACTGACGACTCTCTTGTTTCTGTTCAGAACCTGTCAGGTTGGTGGGAGGAGACACCGCTGACTATGTTCAGTCTGGACCTATTCGGAATTATCTTTCAATATCAAATATCAGAAATGTCTATTCCACCATCTTGAAACTCACCTGCTCAGGTAAACCCATCAATGACGTCATCTATGACAGTAATCATGTGTATCCAGGTTGACACACACATGCACCAGCTAGAATGGCAGCAGACTTGTCTGATGAGCTGCTGCCTCAGTAAATCAGATGCTGAATGCACCAAGATGTCTTTATATATGAAACCTACATGTCTGCTGCTTAAGGAGTCCTCTGGGCCAACCAACAACTAGCCTGAAAGGACTCCTTCAGCTTCACAGCTTTCTTATTCACACCACCAGGGACATGCGGTCAGGGGAGTCATCATGAAAAGTAAAAAACAAATAATGATCAAATAAAATAAAATATTAATATTTCTCTACTGATCTGTGCTATAAATGTATTTTCTGTATGATTCCAATCATTTTACGCATTTTTATAATCAAAATCGCTGAATTTGCGCATGTCCTGTTTAAACAGACACGCGAGGTGAGGCAGCAACGAGCTGTGCCTCATCTCAGATTGTGCAATCCCTCACAAACCGGGTTGAGCGCACGCCTTTTGCTTTCTCATTGTTTGTCACCACTGTAATATTTGTAGGCACCTTTATCATATGTTCTTTCTTTCCATATAATAGGTCATGTATTTCACGTATGTGTAGAACCTATTTAGTCTTGCTGATCTGACATAAAAGCGCAGTAACAAAGCACAGAGGGGAGGCAAACAGTAGCCTACATCTGCCTCAATGAAGGGAGCGTGCGAGAGCCCACGGGTCGGGTTCATGCTTGATCAGCCGTTGCTCTTCTTCTACACTTCTCTTCTTCTTAGATTTAGCTTTGACCGCAAAAATGGAAGATTCTATATCTAAGCTTAAAAAAATCTCAAAAAACAGGGAAATATGACCACATCAACAGCCATTCAACGACAGGTAAAGTAACATGTTATGTGTTTGTTGTTCTCTTTATACATCCGTGGTTGTTACACAGATTATCGCGGGATTTCGCGATTTTCCTGGGTGGCGCCCGCGAGCACTCCGCTTCTGAAACGCTCCCGGTGGGGCAGGTCGGTAGGGCAGGTCGGAGATCGCGGTGCGCACACTCCCGGTGGAATCAAATATGTATCTTACCTGTGTGTGTGTGTGTGTGTGTGTGTGTGTAAAGAATGCTGAAATGAAATACGAAAAACTACCAGTAGTGAATGTGCACGCTGCCAATTGAATGGTGATTTAAGCTACTCTATTGGGTTCAGAATGAGTCAGTGCCTCACCAGCCACGAACTTCACTGCACGTCACAGGTTTCCACCAGCAGGTTCTTTGGTTTCCATCATAACAGGCACCAATGACCTACTGGACACAACTTTCAGCAGCTTTTTAGACAGATTTATATTCTGGATCACAGATATTCTAAGAACAATGAGGCAGAATGTTATTTAGTGTCTGGTGTCTTTTATCTCTCTCTCTTTCATCTTCTATCATCTCTCCAGACTCCGTCAGGCTGGTGAATGGGACTAGTGTGTGCTCAGGCAGACTGGAGGTGAAGTCTAACCAGTCTAACCAGTGGTGGTCCTCAGTGTGTGAAGATGACTTTGACCAGCAGGATGCAGAGGTGGTCTGTAGGGAGCTTGGCTGTGGGGCTCCTTCAGTCCTCCAGGGGGTGCTCTATGGAGAGGTGGAGGCTCCAATGTGGACCAAAGAGTTCCAGTGTGGAGGCAATGAGTCTGCTCTCCTGGACTGTAGAAGCTCAAGCTCAGATAGAAACACCTGCTCACCTGGCAAAGCTGTTGGACTCACCTGCTCAGGTAGAAGAGGAGCTGCAGCTTTGATCTGGTTAATTTCTGTTCTACTGAAACTCACTTTGTTCTTTTACTGATGACTCTCTTGTTTCTGTTCAGAACCTGTCAGGTTGGTGGGAGGAGACAGTCGCTGTGCAGGAACACTGGAGGTGAAACTGAGAGACTGGAGACCAGTATATTACTCTGGTTTGACCCTGAAG